TAAAATTTATAGCGTTTTTTTCAAATTTTATGAATTTGGCCTCTTTAAAGAGGTGTATTCCAAAAAGAGTAATAATTTTTAAACTGCATGCATTCTCTTCAAAATCAGACCTTTTTGAACTTGATCTGTTGAGATTTAAGAAAGTTATTATTTTTTGAAGTACGTGGGACAAAATATGCTGTACTGTTCATTGGAGAGTCAATGTCCATAATTAATAGATATCTAAATACTCATAAACCTATAAACGAATATGACCCACTTTTGAAAAAAACTTAACCTTCCGTTGAGACGCACTAAACTGAAAAAACGTTATACTTTATTCAAATACAAAAATAATTTTAAGTGATTTTGTTTAATTAAAATCAGTTTATAAGATTAATCCTAATATATATGAAAGTATCTACTGATTTGATTCAAAAATATTATCAGTTTGGATAATTATGTTTAATTCATGAAGCTGAAACTGGCACCCACTTTATTTTTGATATTAATTTTTAAAGTTAAATATTTTTTATAAAGCTAAAACTAGCACCCAGTTATCAGCAACAACTTATTATTTCAAAATTTTATGTTGGTTTTAAAGAAAAAAATATTTAACTTTAAAATTAAGTGAGTGCTGATAACTGGGTGGCAATTTCAGCACCATGTTTATGTTTAATTCAAACATATATTCTGTTTTTGGTTAAAACAAAAAATAGGTTTAAAAATTTTATGTTTGATTCAAACTTAAAAGTTGATTTTATCATTAACTCAAAATTCCTACATTGACTTTATAGTCATTCACAAATGCCATACTTTAGAAAGAAGTCTCACTTAATCTTTGTTAATTTATTTAAAATTAATTCAAGTATCACTTTAAAAATTTTTTGAGGTTCATTTTCATCTTTTATACAATTACAAAAATCCAAAGCCGTTGAATTAATCAGGGTAATTTATCAATTTATAGTTTAAGCTTAATTCAAGAATAAGCCTCTAAATGTAAACAGTGAAGTACTTGAAACTCTATTTGCTCTAATAGCCTTTATTACTCGGTAATGTATAAATCTGCTTTTGAATCGCTTTGAACGCAAAATACACAGAATTCTAAAGGGTGAAACTAGATATCTCGAATCTAACAGCAAGAGAGAAATAATTATTATCTAAATCACGACGAAGCCAGAAACGGAGCTCATTAATAAGTTTTACCTTCAGAACTGAGAAAACTCAATTTTAAAATCAATTTATATTTGATCCTAAGAACATCATGTAAATTTTCAGTAAAAAAAAAGAATAAAAAATTAATTAAAAAAAATTATTCAAATTACGGAATTATAAAATATAAAGCTACTGTAAAATAATATCTTTTTTTTATTTTGATCATTATTAGCATAATAAGTTAGAAACGCTTAAGATAAAAACTTTATCTACTTTATACATGCATTTTGCGTGTTATATAAAAATTACCAACCCTGGAAAATTGTTTTATATAATATATACATAGAAAGTGACCTTCGCCCATGAAAGAAAGATAAAAATGAAAGCTGGAGTATTACGTTTTTGTAGTACCATCGAGGATTCAATAAATCGACTTATAAAAATCTACATTTTATATGTGTACATATATATTTATATTCAAGAGTACAGAAGCTTGGGAAAATTGAAAAGCATTCAAATAAGTTCCAAAAGGAACTCAAAGGACCGAGGTTGTATTGAATACATTGCATTCAATTGCTACGGTCGGCTTTACATTTGCTTTCAAATTGACATTCATCAGAAAAATACTAATCCGTATATTAAACACGATTATATTTTATATAAATGAAGAGAACAATGAATTAATCTCCACTTTGAAATCATCATATTATTGACAATACAGCTAATATTCAATTAAAAATCGAAAAAAATGAAAATCTATAAAATTGAAAGTTATTGAACATTGTGTCTCGAGGAAATAAAAGCCATATATTAGGTACAGTCTCCTTCGATTTAGAGAACTCTGGAAAAAAAAACAATTTCTAAATTTATTACACACGTGTCACAAAACATTTTTTATTCTTTTACAAAATTTATGGATTATTGCTTAAGAATGCACAACTTCATAAAAATTTATCGCACCCCTGAAAAGTTATATATTTCTTATATAATTCATGAACTCATAAATTCGTAATCAGTATTTCCTGGAACTCATAAACTTCTGAATAGTCAATAATAACCTGAAGAATAATAATTCATTACATTCTTGACGAATTAATCTAATGTTTGGAATTTTTTGCAAGATAAGTTAACCCATTTATGTTCAAATGCAGATTTTTAGTGTAAATTCAACAATTTTTAGAATTTTGATCGACATCTTGAAATTAGTGACTGACTTTTTGCTTTTGAATTAGTAAATTTTACTAACAAATTAGTAGAATGCAGGTATTTTTCATGATTTATAATAAAATAATATTGCAAATTAGAAAATTTTTTAAAAATTATTACTAACAAACAAAAAATATACCCATTTCGTTTGACTAATCTAAATTATTATGCAAATTATTCTCTTTTTTATTTATAAAAAATACAAGAAAATTGTTAATTTGGTAAAAAATTATTATTAAGAAGTAAGAAATAATTTTTACTTCTCAATAACAATATTGTTTACAAAATCATTTTTTTCTTTTGGGAAGAAAAAAATTAGATATTCCCGTTTCTTAATATTTTTTTTAGAAAATTCTCAATTTTCATAAGGATATAATTTGCATCAATTCTATTTCCTAATTTCAATGGTTTAATAAAATTCAAAGTTTTTTTTAAAAATAAAGGTAAAAAATGTTTATAAATTATATTTGTCAGTTAGAAAATTTAATTGAAAATGAAACTGAAAATTTCTGAATTTTTATAAAATAAAAGAAAAAATTTTATTGAAAAAAATGTTCTGTTAAATTTATTTACACGAATACAGTAAGAAAAGCTATCCGTCAGTCATAGGAAAGTATGGGAATCGCATAAGTCTGTCTCACTCCCACTCATGGGACATGACTGACGTGGTAGGTTTTCGTACTGTATATCTTTAATTGTAAAATTATTCGAAAACAATAATTTTTTAAAAAAATATTTTAAATATTTAATTATTATTATTTTTCCATAGGAATAAGGATTTTAAAAAATTTCAAATTCAAATTTTTTTTTAAATTTATCAACTTTAAAAATATTGTTATAAAACATGAAGAAATTTATTACTTCGAGTCTTCGACTCGAAGTGATCGATTTCATCATATTTTATAATAATTAAAGAGGATCGAGTGTTAAAATCATTATTTTATATTTATAAGAATATTTTTACTGTAACTTGTTAAAAATTATTTTCCTAATTCTATTATTATCTAGAATTTAAACTAAAATTCATTTTCAAATCAATTCTTTATTAAAAAATTCTAAGAGAATTCAATTATTTAAATACAAAAGTAAATTATTTATTGAATAATTTAATGTTTCTTAAAATTCAATTCTTATAAAGGATTTTATTAACAAATTTTTAAATAATTGAATTCTTTTGGCGAATTTTAATAAAAATTTTTAGAATAGTTACATTTTTCAAGGAATTCGATTAAAATTGTATTAAAAATAATTGAAATTCTGCGATGAGTTTCATTATTTCTGAAAATAATTGAATTATTGAGAAGAAACTTATAAAAAAAATTGTAAATATATCTGAATTCCTGTGAAATTTCAAATTTTTACTATTTACGAAAATAATTAAATGTTTGCGTACAATTTTATTAAAATTATTAATCAATCTTTTACGGCCGAGAAATAGTAATTATAGTGAAGGAGAATAAAACGAAAAATTATGAAAATTGTTTCTAAATAATTGAATTCTTTTGGGTAATTTTATTAAAATAGTAGATATTTAAAAAATCATTGAAATGAGGAAATTTTTTGAAAATAATTGAAATTCTGACAAAAATTTTATTAAAAGTTTTGAAAATAATTGAATTTTGGAGAATTTTTTTATTCATAAAGATAATAATTGGGATTTTGTAGAGATTTTCTTGTAAATTTTAAACATGATTGGATTTTGTGATAAGAATTTTATTACTTTTGAAAATAATTGGGTTTCTGCAATCATTTGTAACTTCTTCAAAAATCAAGTTTTTTTTAGTGTTTTTACCTAAAATTCTTCTATAAATCCATTATTTTTAATAATTAATTAAATATATATTGACAAATTTTAGAAGATTTTGAATTATAAAATAAAAATTATAAAATAAAATTTTTTCAAAAATCTAAGTTCATTAAAATTTTTAATTAAATTCATTCAACATTGAAATGTTCTAAAATTTTAAATTGAAACCGTTTGAAGTTGATTTATTTATGAAAATTGTAAACGCAACTTTTTTAACTTTAAATTAATTTTGAAATATTTAAGTAAAATTATTCATTAAATAATTTATTTATTTTATGATAGTTGTTCAATATTATTTAAGTTATTTACAAAGAAATTTTTGTCAGAAATTGAAAAAATTGAAGGCTTTGTATTAGAATTCGTGATAATTTTATAGTTTATGAGTCAAACAAAAAAGACACAAAAATTCAGAATTTTTTATGATTTTTATAATTTTTATGATTATTATAATAATTATAATAATATTAAAACTATATATTCCAATTCATATCTTATTTTTATAAAAAAAAATGAATTAAAAATTTTTACGTTCTGTTATTTTTAAAATTGCTAATTTTATTTTAAAAAGTGAGTGAGCAGTCAGCCACGCGCGAATTGTTCCTAGTTTATTATGTAAAATTTACTAATTCAAAAGCAAAAAGTCAGTCACTAGTAAGAATATTTACAAATTCAAATTTAGAGAGTAGTAAGAAAAGTAAGGAAAAGCTTTGTCCTCATATTTAGATGAACTAAAATATTTTCAAGTCAAAACATGAAATGTTTCGAATTTTCTGTCATTCAAATGCAATTTACAATAGATAAAGAATGTTTTTTCTCTTTTATCTAAAGAAACGTTTGACATTTTTATTTTCAGCCGAGACACCTGACGATAAATTGATAGCAAAAAATACGACAATGGTTCAAATGGGAATCAGAGTGATACAGGGACCGAATTCACAATCAAGAAACCCCCTTTATAGAGTGCCTTCGACAACAGGGGAGTCAATGCTTAACAGAATTGAAGAATGCGATTCTCAAAAGATAAAAGTCTCTTACAACGACAATACCAATTCTGATATCGAAGAGGCAGAAGGTAAAAGAAACTTTATTATTTCCTTTATAAATAAAATAATATATAGGTAATAGAAACCATACTTTTAAGCGAATTATTAGTATATAATGTTATTAATCATTCCCCCCAAGAGAGAAATTAATAATTTTCCATTACATTGAATTTAGCAGAAACGGATAATTCTAAATCATTTTGTAAATGCGATATTTTGTTCAATTGTAGTTAAGTGTAATTAATTTCATATAATTAAATAATTATAATTATACCTACTGCAAAAACTAATTTTATTAATTTGAGAATTTTTGTCAACTAAAATTTAAAAATAGTAACAGATGTAAATAATAAAAAATCTAAAAATTAGACTTCGCACTTGATAATTATTTTTTAAAAAATAGCTTTAAGACTGAAAAAAGTAGTAAAAAAATATCTGTCGAAAGATTCAATTTGACGACTAAAAAATCTCGTTTTAGTCGATTCACAAAAAAAAACAAAAATTTTATTCTGTATTTCCCAGACTTTTTCCTGATTCCCATAAAAAATATTCACTTTTTTTCTTATCCTGCTAATAACTTCAACCCTACACGGAAAAAAATAGTCGCAGAAATTTTCAGCGACTAATCGAAGACTCTCGGATATGAACGAATCTTTTATAGACTTTTAGAAATGTTCTACGATTTTAGCAGAAATTCTCCAAAAAAAGTCGAGGACTTTCTAGAAACCTAGCAGCGGAAAACAGTCTCGGAATTATTCTAACACTTCATAGAAGGTTTCGTCGACGAGTCGCGGAAAATGGTGCGCACAAAAGTTGCGCGCGTTAAAACCAATAAACACTGTTTTTTTAACATTTTTTGTTAACAATTTATGATAATTGATTGTCAAGATTATTATTATTTTTATTATTCAATGTGTCGATATTAATATATACATTAAAAAATTCTAAATAATTTCCGCGACTGTCAATTAAAAATTAGAACGCTGTAGAGTAAATTCAGGTTTGTAATTTTCCGCGACTGTGGCGGAATCGGTTACATGCGCGTGGAGTCTTCATTTTCTTCGACAGTCGCGGAAAGTTTCTTCAAATGTAGTCTATTTCTTCAAAAACTGTGAATATGATTTTTAAAACACTTTCCACTAAATCCGAGAGTCTTCAACAAAGTCGAGGAAAATTTCCGCGACTTATTTTTTCCGTGTAAACATTTTTAAAATTCAATTATTTTCTAATTTTTTAGTTAGAATTCATCAAACATACGATTATAATTAAAAATAATTTTTAAAAGTAAAACCGAATTTTTTAAAAAATAAAAAATAAATTTCAATTAAATTTGACAAAATTTCTAATTAATTGAAAATTCAATGAATTTTTTTAATTTTTACATAGGTATGGGAATTCAACTATCTAAAAAAATTTTAATTAACAATTTTCCAAAGATTAATTTTTTTTCTTAATTTCTAAATTAAATTGTTCTAAAATTCGGACTTAAAAATTAAAATAGAAAAAAAACATTAATTATATTCCCAAATAATTTTACTATTTTCTATAGGCTAAATTTTATTAGTTTAAAAATTTTTGTAAACGCAAATTATAAAATAGTAAAAATTTGCTAAAAGTAAATAAATAAAAAATATTAAAAATTACTAAATGTAAAGTAAATATTTGTCGTTCACTGCAGATTATGTTAAAAGCTTTTTTTTATGATGGTCTTTAAATTTTCAGTTAACTATGGTGAAAAAAGATGTAAATCTTAATATTCTCTTTCGGAAGTCCCTGAATTTCAAATATGTAAGTTAAACTCTCTTGAAGAAATCTTGAAAGTTTATGAATGTTCGGGGCTCCAAAAATATAAAGTTTGCAGAAAGTTTATAGTCTACTTTTGAGCGTAACCTTGCAATGAGTTTCAGCTATTTTATTTAACTGTAGTTCAAGATTGTACGCCACAAGGATAATAAAATTTGTTCCCACTCAGGTTTTAAACTTGAATTCCAAATTCAAACCACGATTAATGTTTGTTTTTCTTTTTTTAAAAACAAATATCAGATATGTATATCTAAAGAAAAGATTTTAGAAATACATTGTTTTCAAATCCAGTCAGAGAAAAAAAACAAAAATATTATATTTTTTTTTGTATAATTTACTACCAAAGGTAAAATTTTATAATTGAATGCAATTAATTATGATTCACTCAATAACAAGCAAAAATTAGTTTTTTACAGTGGAGGAAAGTTATTTTATTTACGTCTACCCGACATTATTTTTTTGAAAAATAATTTTAAAAACTCAACTTTCAGAACTGAAAATACCACATGCAGTCATGGAAAAGCAATTTCTCATGAGCGACGGACCTTTACGCTTAGAGGCAACTTTGGATCGTGCAATTTACAGTCGCGGAGATCCAATCACAGTTCGTGTCAACGTAACCAACAATAGTAAAAAAACCGTCAAAAGGATCGAGGTAATTTCAATCATCAAAGTTTCCTACAAATTTTAGTTTTTATTTTCTTTTTTAAAATTTTTCATATAACGTAATAATTCGATACCTCAGTGTGATACAGTCCTATCTTCTGGTAATACTTTAAACTGTCCTATCTCGAGGTGATGTTTTGTACCGTGCTATCTCTAATTTGACAAATTGTAGTGTGAATAAAAAAAAATAAATTACGGTACTTAAAATATTGATTACATTCAAAACAATAATTTTTTTATATTTTAAGAGAGACTTTTTATCATAATATATAAAAATTTAGTGTGAATTAATAAAATTTAACCACTTAAATGCATTTAGAAAACAGCTAATACATTAACCCTACTTTTTGACAGCACGATACAAACTATTACCTGAAGATAGGACTGTACTAAATATTACCAGAAGATAGGACTGTATTACACTGAAGTATCGAATTATCTAGTTGCAAATTGAAAAGAATTTTTAATTCACAGGCCGCAAAAAAAAATGATTTAAAAATTCAAGTTATAGATCAATTAGCATTAATCAAGGTGGTCAGAAATTTCAGTTTATCAATTTCCCTGACAATTTACTGTCATTGAAATTATTTTCCCAGACAAAATTATTTTTACAGGAAACTATAAGATTTTACGGAGAATGAGTAAAATTTATGAATTTCTATAATTTCTAAAATTTAGAATTATAAACCTTCCTGAATTCAATTATTTTCTATAATTTTCAGTTAAACTTGATCTCTAAATCAATTATTTAAAATAATTTTTCTAAAGTTCTTTTAGAATTCAATTATTTATACAAAAAATCAATTTTTTATAATAAAATAATTGTAACTGTCCATGTTTTTTTCTAAAGTTAATATTTTCAAAAAATTAAAAATTATAAAAAATAAAATCTTACAAACAATTTTTTAAAAATATTTTAAAATAACTTTTAAAATATAATAGTAGTTTTTTAATTAGATACCTACAATTGAAAAATTTCAAAACAATTGAAATTTGGTAAATTCTTTTAAAAATAATTGAATTTTTGAAAAATATCCTAAATAAAAATAATTAAATTTTTGAAGAATTTTAATTACAAATAGGAGCATAATTTCGACAAAATTTTAATAAATCTAAAACAGTAAATTTTTTATAAATTTTTATTAACTTTGTTCGAAAATAATTGAATATTAAAAAATTATGATAAAACAATTTTAAAAATAAGTTTTTAAAAATATTTGAATGTAATTTTTTGAAAATAATTGAATTTCTTAAAAGAATTTTTGTATAATTTAAAAATACTAATTAATTTTTTGATGAATTTTAATTTAAAAATTTTGAACATAATTTTTTTCCAAATTGTTAAAAATAATTCTCAAATGTTATTATTTTTTGTACGTATTTGAATTTTTGGCAATATATGTAATTAAAAAAACTAAAAATGTTGAATTTTTAAAAATTAGAAACTAATTTTCATAAATTTTCATTTTTAAATTAACATTTATAGATGTTTCATTAAAATGGTTGATAATGCAATTAGTTTCCACATTTGCAATTAAAATTCTTTAAAACTTGATTTTCAAAAATTGTAACAAAATAGTTGAAAAAAATTTATTATTTTCAATTAAATTTTACAAAATTTTAACTATTCAAAACAATTTTTATTATAGATAATTAGATATATTTAAACATTTTAATTATCTTAAAAATGCTTATAAAATAATTTTTATTTTTATTTTTTTACATCGGAAGATATAAAGAAATTAGACAAATCATTGAAAATGGGTTTTTTTATTAAATATTTGTTTGAAAAATCAATGTTTTTGTTGTTAAGATATCATTTTTTCAGAATTTTATCAGTGTATTGATAATAAAAAAGGAAAAATTTTAGTTATTACATTTTTCAAGTTTAAAGTTATTTAAAAGTCATCAAAAAAATAGAGGTTGCACTATAAAATTACCATCGGTAATGTAATTCTATTTATTTTATTTAGAATTTTTTCTAATGCATTTTTGTCGATTAATAAAATACCTGTTAATAAATAATTTTAAATTTACATCCTCTTCTAAGATTAGTTTATTTATTTGTTATTTTCTCAATTCATAAAAATGCGACTTAAACCAACGAGAAGAAAATCGTAAAATTCATCTTTATTTTACGAAACTCTTCTAGACATAAAACTTTTCGAGACAAAATCATCGAATTAAATTTTTATCAAAGAAACAAATATATCTGCAGATCAATTTCGAGTTTTATATACTTTTCAATCATATTACCAGTCAATGTTTTATATTTTACTTCTGATGTCGATTAATCAATTTTTGGCAAAATAAAAAAACGTTTCAAGTTTGTATTATAATATATTTTTATATTATTTTATATTTTATTATTTTTTGGTATGTTTTAATATATTTCTTATTATTTTATACTATATTATTTTACTATTATTGTTTTCTATAATTTATTAATTATATAAAATTATAATTTGATAATATATTACATATTGGAGTATATAAGGCTGTAAGAGATGTAAAACAAAATTTGTAACATCAATAAGAAATAAATTCTATTTTATTCTACATATTGGAGCAAAATCACTATTTTTCAAGTCTTTCGTCACATAGAAAAAACAATTTTTACTTGAATTATTAATTACTGAAACGTATATTTTCTTTCAACGTTAATTCTTTCAAACGCATTGCAATATTTTGCTTTATACATTTTTTTGTGTGTGTGTGTATTCTTCATCACGTATACGAATGTTTAAAAAGAAGTTTTCTGAATGGAAAATATATTCCACTCACTGCTTTTTAAAAGGCTTTATATCCGTTTCTAAATTTATCGGTTTATGAATCTATAAATTTCTGGTATCCTTAAAAAAAGGCGAGAAAGGAATATTTTCTGATCGGTTACGTCAAAAATATTCATTTGACGAATATCAATATGAAAGGAAAAACGTAGACAACGAAACATATCACACGACAATATTGAGAAAAGTTCAAACTGAAATGTCATTCACTAAACAGAGTGAAGAAGAATTTTTTTTTAGAAAAAAAAATCAGAAAACATTTTCAATTTACCCCATTTTAAATTTTTCCTGATTGAAAAGGAAATTGAAAATTGTCCTTCTATTTTGTTTTTTGAAAATCTAGAAAAAAATCTCTGCCTTCAAATAGTGTCGGTTTCGAAAATATACGTTTTAATAATTTCTTTCTACTAAATTGTTCCTACAAGTGTAGATTCAAATTTATAAAGTATTGATTTGTTTTTTACAGATTCACTTTCGTACGATTCAAAAAATGAGAATTCAAATTATTTTATAGGAATTTTATACACAGGGTTCGAACATTAAACATTAAACCATTATCAATTCAATTATTATTTATAAGTATTCTAAACTAAATTTCTTCTTTAAATCGATTATTTTTAATGCTTTTCGAAAAAATTTTTTGACAATTTTCAAATCTATTTGTTTACAATATTCAATTTTACGAAATTTCAATTATTCGTAAATTCTTTAAATTAAATATATATTAGAAAATAAAAACTTCAAATAATATAAAAAAATTTAATTACCTAAACTTTTTCAAAAAAATTAATTTCAAAATTCAATTATTTCTAAAAATTCACGCTACATTGCATTTAATATTCAATTATTATATAAAATTATAACTGAAATTCATTTTTAAATTAACTTTTATTAAAACGTTTTACTAGAATTCAATTATTTAAATACAAAAATAAATAATTTTTTATTGAATAATTAAATATTTCTTAAAATTCAATTACCATAAAGAAAGTTATCAACAAATTTTTAAATGATTGAATTCTTTTGACGAATTTTAATAAAATTTTTAAGAATTTTTTCGAGGAATTCGATTAAAATTGTATTAAAAATAATTGAAATTCTGCAATGAGTTTTATTATTTATGAAAATAATTGAATTCCTAAAAAGAATTTTATTATTTATGAAAATAATAGAATTACTGCAAAGAAACTTATAAAAAATTTGTAGGTAATTGAATTTTATTATTTATTATTGAACAATATTTAATTTTTGCGGAGAATATTATTACTCTTGAATTTCAAAAAAAATTCTTATAAATTAAAAATATGAAAAATTCAGATTTGCAAAGATTTTAATTTAAAACATTTTCAAAATTCAATTATTTCTAAAAATTCTCGTTCTAATGCTTTTAATATTCAATTTATAATGTAAAATTTTAACTGAAATTCATTTTGAAATCAATTTTTATTAGAAAATTCTACTAGAATTCAATTATTTAAATACAAAAAAACAATTTAATTGAATAATAATTCCATTGTTTCTTAAAATTGAATTCTCATTAAGAATTTTATTAATAAATTTTTAAAAAACTGAATTCTTTTGACGAATTTTAATAAAATTATTAAGAATAATTACACTTTTTGAAAAATTCGATTAAAATTGTATTAAAAAGAATTAAAATTCTGCAATGAGTTTTATTATTTATGAAAATAATAGAATTACTGCAAAAAAACTTATAAAAAATTTGTAGATAATTGAATTCCTGTGAAATGTTTATTAGTTATGAAAATAATTGAATTTTACAATAAATTTTTAAAAAATTGCTAAATATAATTGAATTTTGGCGAAGAATTTTGCTATTTATAAAGATAATTGAAAATGTTGACGAGAATTTTTTTTAAATATTTTTGAAAATAATTGAATTTCAATATTTAATTTTAATATTTAATAAGATATAGTTGATTTCTTTCAAAGAATTGCGTTAAAATTTAAAAAATGGAAAAATTTCAACAGAATTAAAATTAAAATTTTTCAATTATTTCTCAAAATTCATGGTATGCTGCTTTTAATATTCAATTATAATCCAAAATTTTAACTGAAATCCATTTTGAAATCAATTTTTATTAGAAAATTCTACTGGAATTCAATTATTTAAATACAAAAAAACACAATTTATTGAATAATAATTTCATGTTTCTTAAAATTGAATTCTCATTATGAA